GAAGGAATACCAAATGAGATCCTTTTGTTCACTTCGCCTTAGAAACTAAACTAAGACTTCTGCTTTTTAATGACAAGTGAATCCTAAAGGATTTGCCATAAAATAAATGAGGCAATTACAATGCACCCAATGAGCAAGTACAGTGGACAGCACAGGCTGCCATCACAATGTCAAAGTGTCCCGTGCATCCCAGCATGCGACTAATGTTTTCAAGACAAATAAGGACATTATTTATTAATATACAAGGTCTCCTGATATTAATGAATGTATCTCAGTCTTTCCAAATGAAAATATATTTTAGACACTGGGGGGTAGGGGAGGCCAGGGGTTTGTCAAGGGCAGGGGGGAAAAGGAGACATATGTAATACTCTTTGTAATACTTTAAGCAATAAATAATTTAAAATTAAATAAATAAATAAAATAAAATATAAGTCGGATTCAGCAGAACATGGGCAGGATCAGAGAGTCTGAATTTCTATCATGCTCCCAGTGACACTCTGGGTCCATGGACCACACTTTGAGTAGTAAGAGTCTAGTCTAGTCTATTTAAAATAATTTTTATTGCTGGAATGGCTTTCTAAATTTATTTCATAGCCCAGTAAAGAAAGAGTTGCAATCTGCTGTTCGTAAAACACAGTTCCAAGTAATTTCAAAAGTTTCTTTCATCTTTCTCTATAATTCCGCTGTTATCTTCCTAGCCTTGGGAAGAGAAGTCTTAGGCCTACACAGAAGAGGGGGCAGGGAGTTCAAAGGAAGAATGTCTCAAGTATTACCTTTCAACTTGGCTTAGGCTGAAATTCCTATCTGATTCCTAGCCTTTTTCTCACCGTTCTGAGCCTACACCTTGCCGTTATGTTAATAAATTTTTGAGCACTTGTTAAAAACAGAACACTGAACCAAGTATTTTATATCTAATTCCATATACTCCTGCAACCACTCTATGCAGGGATTCCCATTTCACAGATGACAGGAGGTTATTAGCTAATAACTGGTAGAGCTGGTGTTCCAGAGATTATGTTCTTGTGACAGCCAGCCTCCAAGATGGTTCCAATGATCCTTGCCTCCTGGTGTTCACACTGAAGAGAGCTGACCTGGTAAGCAATAGAGTACTGAGGAAGTGACAGTGTGTGACTTTCTAGGCTCAGTTAGAAAACACTGTGGCTTCTTTCTTGCACTCTGTTGGACAACTCCCTCTAGAAGAAGCCAAGTTGCCATGTCATGAGAATTCTCAAGCAGCCTTATGAAGAAGTCTACACAGCAATGGACTGACACTTCCTGCCAACAACCAGCACCAACTTGTTAGGCACACAAGTGAGCCACTGTGGGAGTAGATACTCCATCCAGCCTGTCAAGCTTTCAGGTAGCCCCACTGATTATATATATATTTGATATTATATATATATACACATATATATACATATATATATATTTATTGTTGATAGTCTTACAGATATTTCCCATTGTCCCCTCTTTTAACCCCCTCCTCTCAGCCCCTACTCCCCTCCCTCGCCCTGCCCAGGTCTTCACTACCCTATCGCCCATGTCCATGGGCTATGCATATAAGTATATAAGTTCTTTGGTTTATGTCTTCTTGTCCCCTTAACCCCCACATCAAGGTATGTCAGTCTGTTCCATGCTTCCATACTTTGGATCTTATTTTGGTGGTCAATTCATTTTGTTCGTTAGATTCCGCAAATAAGTGAGGTCATGTGATATTTGTCTTTCTCAGATTGGCTTATTTCACTTAGCATAATATTTTCCAGGTCCATCCATGCTGTCCCAAAGGGTAAGAAATCCCTCTTTTTTATAGCTGTATAGTATTTCATAGTGTAAATGTCCCACAGTCCACTGACATCTTGATTACAACCTCATGAAGACCTCAAGAGAGATCCACCCAGCTAAGTCACTCCCAAATTCCTGACCCACAGAAACTGTGTGAGAAAATATTATTTCTTATTATTTTCTGCCATTAAGTTTTGGGGTCATTTCCTATGCAATAGATAACTAATCTAGTTCTTAGCCATAGGTTATATTGCATCATTATGATTCAGCCCAAAAAGGAAAGTGAAAGTTTTATGAAGGTCATTTGGATTACTTCTTCACTGTGGCAGCTCATACCATGCATGGTTCAGCAAATTTTCTTTCTTTTTTAATTTAAAATGTATTTTTCAATTAAAGTTTACATTCATATTATTTTGCATTAATTTCAGGTATACAGCATAGTGGTGAGACAATCATATACTTTACAAAGTGTTCCCCCCTGATATTTCCAGTACCCACCTGGTATGCATAGTTATTGCAATATTATTAACTATATTTCCTAGGCTGTACCCCTGTGAATATTTTGCAATCATCAACTTGTACTTCACATTTTCCACCCAGTTCCCCTAAGTCCTTTCTCTGTTTCAGCAAATTTTCATTCTCCCCTTGCAACCAACATTGTGAGAAGCATTAATTCCCCTTCAGACCTGACCAGATTAGTTCCTGTAGTCAGCTGGGTATGGGAGTAATGTTAAATCATTTCGAATATAACTTTTTAGAGATGCTACATACAGCCGTGGGCAAACTTCGGCCCACGGGCCGGATCCAGTCCATTTGAAATGAATAAAACTTAAAAAAAAAAAGACCGTACCCTTTTATGTAATGATGTTTACTTTGAATTTATATTAGTTCACACAAACACTCCATCCATGCTTTTGTTCTGGCCCTCCGGTCCAGTTTAAGAACCCATTGTGGCCCTCAAGTCAAAAAGTTTGCCCACCCTTGTAAGGATCTGCCTGCCCTCTTTAGCTTCTTCCCTCATTTGTAAAAATAATATATCCCAAAGAGTGGAAGTTCGTTTAGCCTGGGTCCCAAAATGAGAAGGCATGGAACTTGACCTCTAGCTAAGCTTAGCCCATGCAGAGGCACAGTTGACTTATAGACCAATGAGTGAGAAGTAAATGTTTATAGTGGTAATCCATAAGATTTCAGGTTTGCTTGTTACCACACCAAAAACTGACCCGTACACTCACCATGCTGTATGATGCCATACTCCATAAGCCGGTGGCACAGTTGCTCTGCCTCTTTCCTTGTGGTGGCCTCCCCTTCCTGAACCAGCCAATCCAGGAATTCAGATGCCATGAAGGTGCGCTCATACTTGACCCCCTCCTCTTCCCGGGGCTGTAGGAGTGTGTGTTCAGGGCTCATCAGCCTGGGAGGGAAAAAGGGACAAAAAGTAAACCTATACAAAAGGAAAAGAGCTCATTTGAAATCCTACATCATAGGCTTCTGGGTGGCATCACGGCAAAGTTGTCAGACAGACAGATATGGCTGTCATGTGCTGCCACAAATGTAATTTTTAAGAGAAGGATCTGCTTCAGATGTGAACAAGATGCTTTTTCTCCTAGTAATTAGAGAAAAAAACAAAAACTGAAAATTCCATGGAAACTTTAGCATTAGCAGATTGCATTTGGTTTAGCCATCTTGAAAAGGAGTTACAATTTACTGACTAAGTCCCACCCTACCTTTCTACAAAGGCTAATATTTCTTTCCCAAAGGCATTAGTCCATTTCCCAAATTGCTGTTCTATTTTGCTGTGGACTGAAGGTCTGTGTCTTTCCAAAATTCATATACTGAAATGGTAATGCCCAATGTGATGGTATTTAGAGATGGGGCCTTTGGGAGGTGATTATTTCATGAAGTCGGGGCTCCCATGATGAGATTACCGCACTTACAAGAAGAGCTACAAGAGCCTGGCCACCAGATAGCTCAGTTGGTTAGAGCATCGTCTCAATAAACCATACTTGTGGGTTCAATCCCTGGTCAGGGCACATTCAAGAATCAACCAGGGAATGCATAAATAAATGGAACAACAAATCAATGTTTCTCTCTCTCTCTCTCTCTCACACACACACACACACACACACACACACACACACACACGAAAGAAATAGCTACAAGGCTGCTTTCCCAGGGTTAGTAACAACTGAGTTGGTGTGAGCAATAAGAATTATATTTGAAATAATAATGACTAGGCCCTTCTTAGAAGATGGAAAGGACAGCTGCTACATATACATCAACACTAGTGACAAAATCATAAGACATTCTCTAGTCTCATGCTTCTTCCCAATACAACTCCACTGTTTCTCCCATCAAAAAATTGAGTCTACTTCTTCTTCCCTTGAACCTGGGCTGGCTTTGTGAACTGCACTGACCAGCTGCATGCAGCAGAAATGACATATGAGACTTGCAGCTCCCACCGTCACCCCCTTGTAATGCCATGATGAGACAGCCATGTAAGAAAGCAAGTCCCACCTGGTGGAGGTAAAGAGTCACAGAGAGAATTGAGATGCTCAGGCGATAGCCAGCACCAATTCTCGGACATGTGAATGAGACCATCCGGAACTTCCTGCCCAGGTGACTCTCCAACAACCATATGAATGAGCCCGAGATGAAGCCCATAAGGGGAACTCCACATAACCCACAGAATCCAGAGAAATAAGACATCATTGTTGCCTTAAACTACTAAGTTTGGGGGTGAATTGTTTTACAGGAAGAGATAACATTCATACCAATGGGCAATGGCAAAAAGATGTAAAAATCCAGAAAAAGAGACACGTCACACCACACGGAAAGTACTGAAGGAACAATGAACAAATACTGGAAGGTTCTGCAGCAATCAAAAATAATCTATGCACCCCTATGTTCATAGCAGCACAATTTACAATAGCTAGGATTTGGAAACAGCCCAAGTGCCCATCAGCAGATGAGTGGATAAAAAAGCTGTGGTACATTTACACAAAGGAAAACTATGCAGCTATAAAAAAAAAAAGAAGAAGAAACTCTTACCATTTGCAACAGCATGGATGGACCTGGAGAGTATTATGCTAAGCAAATGAAGGCAGTTTTGAGAAAGGTAAGCATCACATGATCTCTCTCAGATGTGGAATCTAATGAACAAAATAAACTGATGAACAAAATAGATCCAGAGACATAGAAGCTTGGAACAGACTGTGGAATCTCAGAGGGAAGGCCGGGTGTGGTGGGGAGAGATTAACCTGGGAATTTATATGCATATATGCATAACCCATGGACACAGACAATAGTGTGGTGAAGGCCTGGGAGGGGCAGGTGCAGGGTAGAGGGGGTCAATGGGGAAAAAAAAACGCACAAAGAAGACAGCTGTAATACTTTCAACAATAAAGATAAATTTTAAAGAAAAGAAGAAAATAGTGAAGGTTCTGCATGGAATAAAGCCACATAGAGGTAGACCTGGGAGCCTACATTGGTAATGGGACTCTAGAAAGGAGAACTGAAGAGCCCAAATAGGAATACCACCATTTCCTCATTTCTTTTGACCCTCAAATAAGGTATTTTGGAGTGAAAATAAACTAAAATTAGCCTCCTAAGGTTTCCAGTTTCGTACATTATTTCCTCTAAGAAGCTGTGTCCAATTTCACAAATATGGACCACGTGCCCCTTCCCAAGTCCCTTTTCAGAGCCCTAGGGGAATAGCCTACTCATAATTGTAAGCTTTCAGACAAAAAGGTTTACAGATGTTTCTAGCACAATAGGTGCTCAAAAAGTATTTCCTGAATGAACGAATGAAGCTCATTTTTATGCATTGCCCTGTTATGCTAAGAGAAGAATTAAAAACGACCCCCTTAGGATGACCCTGTTCGGAGGTGAGATGAATCAAGAGTCTCCACCTTAGCGATTTAAGATGCAGACACAGACGCCTGGCCTTTATCTCTGTTTCTAACCACTCTTCCAGCTCAGAGATTTTTCCTTTCAGGGTGGCGGGGGGACAAGTGGATGCAAGTTTACTGGTGTCACTTCTTATAATCAGAAACATGACCTGTCAGTCCCCTAGAGCTCCTGCTAAGTAGCTGGTGGCCCCCAGACAAGTGGTTGGTCAGCTGCTGCTGCCAAGAAAAGAGACCAGTTGGCAGGCCTGCCTGGATTAGCTCAGCTTGCCACGTTATTAAAACATGCACCACCACCCTTCGCTCTTCCTTATTTCATTTCCTCTTAAAATCAAGTCAGGTTCCTCTCTTTAAGACAAAGCCTTTCATGGGATTTGATTTTAGTATTCATATGTAGTGACAGTGTTAAAGTAAGAATTTGATTTAGTATTTGTTCCAATTATGTTTTGCTATGTAACAAGCTATTCCTAAACTTGGTGATTTTAAACAACCACCATTTAATTATATCTCAAGATTCTGTGGGTTGCCTGGGGCTCAACTGGGCAGGTCCACTATCAGTCTTGCTAGAGGTAACTCATGCAATTGCAGGCACACGGTGGCCAGGACAGGGGTGTCTGGCCCTGTGTTACTCCTAAGTCAACATAGCTTTTCTTTCCGGTGAGGCAGGCTGAACACTGAGGCAGAGTTGGAGAGGACGCAGTTACTGCCAGGACATTTTTGTAGTTTTATTGTGGTTATAATTCACTTACCATGCAATTAACATTTCATATGTACAATTCAATGGTATTTGGTATATAAAGAGAGTTGGATATATCACATTCACATACAAATTTTTGTGTGGATGTACATTTCATTTCTCTTGGACAGAAACCTAGAAGTGGAATTGCTGGATCATATTGTAGCTCTATACAGTTTTTGGAGAAACTACCAAACTATTTCCCAAAGTAGTTGTTCCATTTTACATTCCTCCAGTAAAGTAATGAGTTTTAATTTCTCCTCATCCTCACCAACATTTATAATTTTTTTCTGTTTTTGTTATGGCCAGACTAGTAGGTGTGGAATCTCAATGTGGTTTTGATTGGCATTTTCCTAATAATTAATGATGTTGAGCATGTTTTCATGTGCTTATTTGTCCATTTGTGGAAAAATGTCTATTCAGACCCTTCCCCACTTTTAAATTAGATTGCTTGTCTTTTTATTATTAAATTTTAAGTGGTCTTTGAATATTCAAGATGCAAGTCCTTTATCAGACATATGATCTGCGAACACTTTCGTCCATTTTGTGGGTTGCTTTTCACTTTCTTGGTGGTATTGCCTTAGTCTAAAAGTTTCTAATTTTGATATCATCTATTTTATCCATTTCTCTCTTTTGTCACATGTGTTTTTGGTGTCACCTTTTGGAAGCCCATGAAGATTTACTCCTAAGTTTTTATCTAATTATTTCATAGTTTTAGTTCTACAATCCATTTTGAGTTAATGTTTCTATAAGACATGCGGTAAGAGTCCAACCTCATTCCTTTATATGCAGCTGTTCTCTTGTCCCAGTACCATTTGTTGAAATGACCATGCATTCCCCATTGAATTATCTTGGCACTCTCGTCAAATATCAGTTAACCATGCCAGGCCTTCTTAATGCCTAAGTTCAAAAGACACAGATGTCAACTGCCCTGAATTACTAGTATATTTGTTAAAGCCATCAGACACATGAAGAGGGGACACATATACCATCTCTTCATGGAAAGAACAATATGCACAGATAGCAAAAGGTGGAAATGTTTGGGGCCATCTCTGGAGACTAGCTACTATACGGCTTTATTTTAATTTGTCAGCTGAAAGGCAATTTCGGTATGTATAACTCATTCACAGTTTTATGTTGTCTCTTCCTCATTTATTTAATATTTTTTTACTTAAAGTGTGGGATAGTTTTATTTTTTGGGGGGGGCGGGGGGATAGTTTTAAAGGCATGCAATCTAAAGGCAAACAGCTTCAAATCCTAACTCTGCACACTTGTTAGCTAGATGACTCTCTTTTCCAAGTATAAGATGGGGTTAATAATGGTGCATCCTTGAGCAGTTGTGTAGCTTAAGTGTGATAGTGCAGGAAAAGCTTCAGTCATGGTCCCAGTACACCATAAACACTGAATACACTTCAGCCATGATGAAGATGGTGATGATGATGATGACAATAAAAAGTTTTCTAGATGGAGCCATTATTCAAGAAAGCCAAACACCTTTCTTTGTGGCAAAATGAACTAAGATTGTGTATTTCCACAGATAAGAATAACAGTTCCATTTTAATTAGTCATCAGAAATGTGTATGATGCTCTGAAACTCTTAGATTTGATGAAACAAATTCATCTTTAGTCAAAATTGTCCTGTGCTGGCCTATAATCAGGACATAAAGCCACAGGCTTTTCAAGGTGTCAGGCATGAACACTACTCACCTCATGCAAGTACTCACCAGATGTTGAGCGTGCATGTGAGCTGACTGCAACCTTTCCTGGATA